AGCTGAGCAAGGGCATCGCGGGAAAGCCAGACAGAGCGGGCAAGGGCAGCAGCGGCAGTGGACTCGCGCTCAGCGGGCCGTGGGATCTGCGGGCAGCACAGCAGGGGGGTCAGGGCAGGGGAGCATACCGTCTAGGTGTGCAGAAAGCGGGTGGCCGTCCTGCCGCTGGCCAGTGAGGTGGCGGCGAAGGTCAGCCAACCACGCCTCGAACTCCAGAGGCTGACCCTCAGCATCAAAACGAAGCTCAGCAGCCATGAGGGGCAGTGGAGGACAGTGCAGTGCAATGCAGTGCGGTGCAGTGCAATGCCGTGCGGTGCAGTACGGTCCAGTGCGGTGCAGTGCGGGCGGTGCGGTCCAGTGAGGTGCAATGCGGTGCAAGGCGGGGCAGGAAAGTGAAGGAGGGTGCAAAGTGGTGCGGGGAACGGGGGACAGTACCAGGAAGTATGGAGGGCCGGGGCAGGCGCGTCAGGGCCGGGCAGGCACGACAAGGCCGGGCGGCGGCGACGGGGCCGGGCGGCTGCGACGGGGCCGGGCGGCTGCGACGTGGCCGGGCGGCTGCGACGGGGCCGGGCGGCTGCGACGGGGCCGGGCGGCAGGGACGGGGCCGGGCAGGACACAGCAGGGCCGGGCAGGGGCGACGGGGCCGGGCGGCTGCGACGGGGCCGGGCGGCTGCGACAAGGTCGGGCGGCAGGGGCGGGGCCCCGGGCAGGACACAGCAGGGCCGGGCAGGGGCGACGGGGCCGGGCGGGCGAGCAGGGGCCGGCAGGGCGACAGGGGCCGGGCAGCCGCGACAGGGGCCGGGCGGGCGCCACGTGGCCGAGAGGCCGCGACGGGGCCGAGCAGGGCGACGGGGCCCAGGAGGGGCTCGACGGGGCCCAGGAGGGTCGCTAACGGGCCCAGGAGGGGCGCTAGGGCCCAGGAGGGGCGCGACGAGCCCAGGAGGGGCGCTACGGGCCCTGGGAGGGGCGCGAGGGGGCCTGGGAGGGGCGCGACGGGGCTTGGGAGGGGCGCGACGGGGCTGGGGAGGGGCGCGACTGGGCCTGGAGGGGCGCTACCAAGCCCAGGTAGGGGCGCGACGGGGCCTGGGGGAGCGCAATGGGGCCCAGGAGGGCGCTACCAGGGCCTGGGAGGAGCGCGACTGGGCTAGGGAGGGCGCGACGGGGCCTGGGAGGAGCGCAATGGGGCCCAGGAGGGGCGCTACGGGGCCTGGGAGGAGGGCGACGAGGCCCTGGAGGGGCGCTACCAGGCCCTGGAAGGGGCGCGACGGGGCCTGGAGGGGCGCTACGAAGCCCTGGAAGAGGCGCGACGGGGCCTGGAGGGGCGCTACGAAACCCGGGAAGGGGCGCGACGGGGCCTGGGAGGAGCGCAATGGGGCCCAGGAGGGGCGCTACGAGGCCTGGGAGGAGCGTGACGGGGCCCTGGAGGGGCGCTACGGGGCCCAGAAAGGGGCGCAACGGGGCCCAGGAAGGGGCGCGACGGGGCTAGGGAGGGTCGCGACGGGGCGAGGGAGGGTCGCGACGGGGCTAGGAGCACGACGGGGCCCAGCTAGGGGGCGAGCGGAAGCGTGAGGGGGGGGGGGGGGGTGGGGGGGATCCTACCTACGCGTGATACCATATCAAACAGTGAAATTAATGAATTGAGAGAGAGAGAGTACACAAACATATACCTAACAGTTGTACTCTCTAGAAGATGACCCTATACAGTCTATACAAGCATGATAACTAAACATGTTTGACACACCCCCCTGCTACTCTTGCTCCTCACCCTACCCCTAGCTGCGCTGCCAGTACGTCTCGGGGGTTGGGCGGGTGAAATTCGCTAACTGCCCGCGGGCAGCTCCATCCGCAAACGCCTCAGTCTTCACAATCCCATAGTACCCACTCGGATTCGCCAGGAGCAGATTCGCCACCTCGAAATAACTCTGTCCAGCCGCGTTACTGTACTGCGTCACATTGTACCACACCCCAGAGAACCCGTACACATAGCTGGTGCGAGCTGAGGGGCGGAAGAAACCGAAGTACTTGGGAACAGGGGCGGCGCGCTTGCGGCCGCGGGCGTCCCTGCGGGTGCCGTTCCACGTCATGTTGGTCCAGGTAGCTTCGGCGGTGGAGAACTCAAGAATGGCCGCGCCACCATCGGCAGCACCGGCGGCGCCTGTGCTGATGGCGATGGAGAGAGGCGCACCGGACGTGGTCAGGCGGATGCTGGCTCCGTAGCGGATGTTGTAGTCGCTGCCGCTCCTGGTTGGGCCGGGTTGATACCGGAGAGGAGTGGGGTGGAGCAGGAGGTGGTGCCATGATGGTGGGCATACATGGGGCATGGGTTCTCAGCTTGATTTAAGGTTGCTTTTGAGATGTCTCAAAACCAGCCTTATATCAGGAGGTGGTGCCATGATGGTGGGCATACATGGGGCATGGGTTCTCAGCTTGATATAAGGTTGCTTTTGAGACGTCTCAAAACCAACCTTATATCAGGAGGTGGTGCCATGATGGTGGGCATACCTGGGGCATGGGTTCTCAACTTGGCGTGGGAAAACGTGCGACTTTTAGCAAAGAGGAGAGGGGGAGAAGGAGAGGGAATATGATGGCAACGCTTTGAGGGACTAAACAGCAAGTTGATTTGCAGGTTGGCGATCTGAAGAGTTGCTTTCTGGAAGACAGGAGTGCAATCAGCAGTTGTGGCATGCTCATGCTTACTGGAAGACAGCGAGGGAGATGACCCCGGTGGCATTCACATCTCCAGCCGCGGTCGTCTCCGTGCCGTTCAGCCTCGCACACACGGCTCCTGGGGATATGAGAGGGGAGTGGGGGGGGGGGAGGGGTGTAGAGCGGAGGTATGGAACTGGAGGGGGTACAGTGGGGGAGGCAAGGGTTGGTGATGGTAGAATACACGCCACCAGCATTCGTCTCCAGCATTCGTCTCCAGCATTCGTCTCCAGCATTCGTCTCCAGCATTCGTCTCCAGCATTCGTCGCCAGCAATCGCCGAGCAGGAGGGGACGAGGGGGGAGGAGGGAGGCAAGGGTTGGTGACACGCCGCCAGCTTACGCCTCCAGTTACTGCCGTTCCCCTATTTTTGAGGCGCCTCAAAAATAGTCTCCAGTTACTGCCGTTCCCCGTGCCATTCACCTTTGAAAATGCCGGTTCAGGTGAAAGGGAGATGAGCTCTCAGGGGGAAGGGGGTGAAGGGGAAGGGGGTGAAGGGGAAGGGGGTGATGGGGAAGCGGGTGAAGGCGAAGAGGTAGGGAGATGAGTGGAGTGAGAGAGGGTGCAAGGGAAGTGAAAGAGGTAAGATCATGCGAAGTCAGAGGGAGACAGAGTGGCAATACTAGAGCGGCCTGTACTAACAGTCTAACTCCAACCGAGACTCACCCACGCGAGTGCCCAGACCCCTACTGCCATTGCGCCGGCCGCCGCCAAAGAAGCCTCCGCCAAACCCGCCGCCACCACCACCGTGTCCGCCTCCGCCCCGCCTCCGCCGCGCCCTCCGCCGCCCCCGCGCCCACCGCCGCCTCCTTTGCCCCCACCGCCGCCGCGAGCGGCGCCTGTTGCGATATTCGGGGTCGAGGGGGGACGCCGTTAGAGATTTGGTTAGTCTGCTTTTGAGTCGACTCAAAAGCCGTTAGAGATTTGATTAGGAATCAGCCCCGGATGCTGCAGACTACGCGAGAAGGAATGCAGTGCGTAGTAGAGTGGATGTGCTTTTATCGGATAGAGAGGAGGTGCTTACAGGAGACGACGAGGAGAGCCAGCAGCGACGCGGCGAGAAGGTGGCGAAGAGGCGTCGTCGTCATCATCAGGTCGTTAGGGTTAGGGTGAGAGGCAAAGGTGAGACGACGCAGAAAAGGAATCGAATCGATTGTTGTCAATGCGAGGCAGAAGTCGAGTTGTTATGAGAAACCGTTGCGTGAGGAGTCTGAAAAATAGAAACCGCTGCTTGGATGGATGGAGTGGAATGAGATGCTTTTATAGACCGAGGTAGTGCTGCTCCACTGCTCCACTGCTCCACTGCATGATCGTACGGCACGGGTCAACCCAATGACCACCGCGTAACGGCGTATCCACCAACTGACAGCCATGCGAGGAAGCCGGACATGACGACTGGTCAGCGAGAATCGCGGCGGTGCGACGAACGCACACCGTAGCTTCCGTGAAAGGGGTCATCTGAAAGGTAGATACCAGTGCGGTATTTTGCGTGGCGCACCCGTGGGCGGGAAAGAAACACTCGCGAGTCGCGAGAGTAAAATGGGTTGTAGCCTTGCCTGACAGGTGGGTCCGGGGAGGGACGCACGCCGACAGGACGAGCCATGGCAAATACTGCCCGCATCCTTAGTAATCCTGTGGCAGGGTTTCCGCGATTGTCGGTCGGTGATAAAATTTGGAGCAGGGCTCAACTGAGGCGATAGATTGTACGGACAGACAGTGGATGGAAAGGGGGAGGGGACCTGCATGCGACGATGCGACCATTCCCTCAGGCGAAAGTACGCTGCTGCTGCGAAGCCGATCTTAGGGCGGGTCTCAAAAGTACGTTTGATTGCGGTGCAGAAAGTTTCTCTGCGTTTACGAGCTTTCAAGAGCCAAACTAGAATGGTTGGGTAGGGTATTTGGGAAAAAGTGTGTTTGGGACCCGCCCTCAGTACTGAGCAGGGCGAACTGGTGGCGAATCGCTGCGACGCGATGTGAAGCACGAGAACTGATCCACAAACGCTCCCGCGTCCATGCGAATTTCGCCCCATCCAGCTGCTGCTGAGTTGTTCCCCCGATTGATCCCGCGCGCCCCAAACCTTGCGCGTTTAGATGTTTCCCCCCGTCCCTTGCGCCAAATTTGTCGGCGAGCTGATGTCGCACAGCAGTCGGTTGACCAGTCGTCGCAGGGCGTCGCATTCCTCCCCACCCGCGACTGTTCATCGAATCAAGAAAAATGCGCAGGGTGAAAATGAACACAAGTGTACTTGAAGCCCGCTGGAAGACCAATATCATTCTAGTGATATTACTTGTGCATCCATTCATCCATCAAAGCACCTACAAGTGTGGAAACTATCAAATCAGCATTACAATCACCCATAGCTTGCATATCAAACCCGTCGGCGTAAAAGCCCGTATTAGGCACCTACAGTATATGCGTGTAGTCAGGATTGTCTCGCATGAGTCAATGTTTGTGTCAGTCTATGTATTAGCACACGAGTCTTGTCAGTGTTAAGGATCAGTCTGTGTGTCAGCGTGTGTGTCAGCTGCTGCGTCAGTCTCAGAATGAGTCTGTGTTTCAGTCAGTGTGCGTTGAGCATCCACCTGTTAGTGTCAGCCATCTGGCATCAGGCATCCAGCAGCAGCAACCATCTGTCAGCAGCCAGCACAGCACTTTTTGTGAGTGAGGGTGCCTCAAAGCAGCATCAGTTAGCAGAGCATGCATCAATTCATGAAGGATCGGCACATGGCAGCACCGCAGCAGCACCGCAGCAGCACCGCAGCAGCACCACAGCAGCACCGCACCCCGTTTGAGGCGACCCGAAAAGAAGCATCTCGCAGCTTCGGTTCACGTGGCAAAGATCAGTTCATGAAGGACCGGCACGTGGCAGCACCGCAGGAGCACCGCACTCGGTTGAGGCGGCCCGAAAAGAAGCATCTCGCAGCTTCAGAGCACGTGGCACGCGGCAAGCATCAGTTCATGAAGGACCGGCACGTGGCGGCACCGCAGCGGCACGGAACTCGGTCCTTTTCCTCGCGGTCAAACCGGTAGTCGTACCTGGATGTTGGGAATGGGAACGGACGGAAAGGGGGTTGGTGCATGTGTAAGTCTAAGCGTGTACGCATCTGCACATGTGGGAGTGTGTGAGGTGCCTCAGAGATAGTCGAGGAAGGGTTGGGGTTGTGGAAGCACAGGCATGCACACACACAAGCTAACACTTCGTCACACTAGGCATGCACTCACGTTAGCTCCTCTCCCATGCGAATGGGGCGGCGAGCAATGATGACGATGATCGGACTCGGGTTACCATTCTTGTCCTCTATGTCGAAGATTTTGGCAAAGCAGTTGGGGTTGCACTGACCAAGGGGATGCGGAAAGGGGAGGAGACCCCGAGGGGTTAAGAGAAAGGATGTGTGAAAAAAGGGAGAAAAAGAGATGAGGGACAGTGAATTCAAGAGCTGCTGGCACAGAAGTAATGTGAACGATTAAGTGCATTCAAGAGGTGCGATGAGCATGGAATGTATTGCGAATGTGCTTCTAAGTCAAGTAAACGCATGCAATGTGAACGATTACATGCATGGCATGGGATAAGCTGTGAACAAAGAAGCACTTGGCGCATACAGAGTGGTTCATCATTCTCGCGTAGTTGCTGGCCATCGTGGCATCCACCACCCTCTCCTCGTCCACCTTGAACAGCTGAAGTCACATTGGATACATGAGATGGGGGTGGGATGGTGGGATGCAAGGGACACATGGGACACATGGGACACATGGGACACATGGGACACATGGGACACATGGGACACATGGGACAAATGGGACACATGGGACACATGGGACACATGGGACACATGGGACACATGGGACATATGGGACACATGGGACACATGGGACACATGGGACACATGGGACATATGGGACACATGGGACACATGTAATCAGCACAGCACATCACATCACAGCACAGCACAGCACAGCACAACACAGCACACCTCCTGTAAAAGCACGCACTTGAATAATTACCTCCTGCTCACATTGCCATGAAGCCACAGTCATCCATTGGCTATACTCTCAATAGCACATTCTTCTTCTATTCTCACAACTTCCACCTTGCACAGCACACTATCTCCTTTTGTTGTACTCACATAGCACAGCTCCCCATTGCTATACTCACATAGCACAGCTCCCCTTCGTCATACTCACATAGAACAGCTCCCCTTCGCTATACTCACATAGCACAGCTCCCGTTCGCTATACTCACATAGCACAGCTCCCCTTCGCTATACTCACATAGCACAGCTCCCGTTCGCTATACTCACACAGCACAGCTCCCCTTCGCTACACTCACATAGCACAGCTCCCCTTCGCTATACTCACATAGCACAGCTCCCCTTCGCTATACTCACATAGCACAGCTCCCCTCTGTCGAGGTATCTCTTCTCCCTCAGCTCCGCCACACTCCTCCTCAACGCCTCCCCTCGATAGTCCACCACCTGATACAGTCACAAAGGGAAAGTGTGAGGGTCAGTGGCGAGACAATGGGATACTTCATAAAGAAAAGTGATGGTGAGTGACTCGGTGAGTAACTGTATGGGTCAGTCGTGGATGGTAGCAATGAGCACAGTCATGCAGCACAGTCATGAGGCAGGGTTTAGGGTTTCGGGTTTAGGGTTTAGGGCACTGCAAGCACACACTGCAAGCACACACTGCAAGCACAAACTGCAAGCACACACGAGGCGCATGCACGCGCACACGAGGCGCATGCACGCACACACACACCCACACACATGGACCCACCATCTCGCCCTCCTCGATGTCTTGCCGCGCCACCGGACCCCAGTCGTGCATGGCCGCAGCGAGTAGAGTCATGAAACGCACATCCAAAGCACACACCACGAGGTACACACACACACCCGCACACATACCCCCCCTCCAACACACGTGGACCCACCATGTCGCCCTCCTCAATGTCTCGCCGCGCCACCAGCCCCCAGTCGTGAATGGCCGACCGCCCAAAGGTGACTCTCTGCCACGCCGTGTCCTGCAGAAGCACAGAGGCATTCAGGGAAGCAATCGGGGGGAGGGGGGGGTTGGTCAGGCAGCAAACGCGTCCTGCTGCTGACTCACACAACCATCCATCCACAAGCTCAGGTGACTTTTGAGTCGACTCAAAAGTCAACCGGGGGGGGGGGGGGGAGGGGGGGGTGGCAGGTTCAGGCAACAAACACGTCTTGCTGCTGACTCACAACCATCGACCCACATGCTCCCTCCCTAGTCGACTCGCTACCCTGCCTGCACCCACGTGCATCATACAGCCCTTGAGAGACTTTAAAAATTTGCTCATGTCTCTCACCCCCAGGAGCACCACTTGGTGGTGGTTTTAGCCATACGTGGCTGCAGGCTGTAGAACACTGTTTTAGTTAGGAAAAAATTCCTTGCTCATGTCTCTCACCCGCACGACTTTCTTTCGCTCTGCAGGCGACGTGGCTACAGGCGACTCTTCTGAGTGCATCCCATCTAACCCACCCAGCTCCCACAGCAAGTCTAGTTTTGAGGCGCCTCAAAAATACCCAGCTTCCACAGGAAGTCTAGTCTTGAGGCGCCTAAAAAAAACCCAGTTCCCAAAGCAAGTCTAGTTTTGAGGCGCCTCAAAAACACCCAACTTCCACAGGAAGTGGTTACAGGCGGGTCTTGTGGGTTCAACTCACCTAGCGTACCCAGCCTTGTACCTCACCTCACCCGACCATGCACCTTAACCCTAGACCCTCACCCCTTGTGTCGTATCTCACCCTAACCCTTGACCCTCACCCCTTGTGGCTGGGGGCGCATTTTGAGTCGACTCAAAACTCACCCTCACCTCTTGTGACTTATCTCACCCGCACAACTTTCATTCGCTCTGCACGGGATGTGGCTGGGGGCGGCTCCTCTGGGTGCTGGCGTGTGACAATAACGAGGGGAGGGAAGTATGGTGGAAGATTGTTTAGCCAGCAGTAAGGATGAGGAGAGGAGAGAGCAGGAGCATCAGATTGCGGATAATAACGGATTGCATACCCACCTTTGGCACCTTTGGCACCTTTGGCACCTTAGGCACCTTTGGCCTGAGGTCCGGATTGCAGATTGCTTCATGTGTGAAGCATGAGTAAGGATGAGGAGAGGAGAGAGCAGGAGCATCAGATTGCTTCATGTGTGAAGAGCGGGAGTAGAAAGAGGAGGGGGATGGGGCCCAATTTCGTTCAGGAACATCAGGCTTAACCATAGCACCAGAGCAATCCCTAGCACCATACCACACTCCTAGCACCACAGTAACCAGTAGCACCACAGCAACCCTACAGTCGCACCCACCCTGAGCTCCATGTTCGTCTCTCTTTTCATACCAGCACACTCCCCCAATCAGGTACAGCACAATCTCCTTGTGCCCCTTGCCCCACACCCTCACTTTGCCCATACCCACGTTTGGCACCACAGTAACCATAGCATGATAGCACCATAGCACCATAGCACCATAGCACCATAGCACCATAGCACCATAGCACCAAAGCACCATAGCACCATAGCACCATAGCACCATAGCACCATAGCACCAAAGCACCGCACCATAGCACCATAGCACCATAGCACCATAGCACCATAGCACCATAGCACCATAGCACCATATCACCATAGCACCATAGCATCATAGCACCATAGCACCATAGCACCATAGCACCATAGCACCATAGCACCATAGCACCATAGCACCATAGCACCATAGCACCATAGCACCATAGCACCATAGCACCATAGCACCATAGCACCATACGCACCCTTAACTCCATGATCGACTCCCTGTCGTGCCAGCACACGCCCCCAATCAGGTACGGCACTATCTCCTTGCGCCCCTTGCCCCACACCCTCCGCTTCCCCTCATCCGCCCCTGGATCACCCTCCTCCCTCCTCCCCTCCGTTTTATCCCTTGCTTTCACCCTTTCCCCCCTTTCCCCCCTTTCCCCCCTTTCCCCCCTTTCCCCCTTTCCCCCCTGTTACCCCTATCCCCCTGTCCCCCCTGTCCCCCCTGTCCTCCCTGTGCATCGCCTGCCTCCACCGGATTCGGCTGTTTCGGCCTCTGTACTCCTGGCACCGCGACAGCACACCCTCATTCCCATCCCCTCCTGCTCCTGCCACAGCTGCACTATCCGCCTCCCCGGCCCCCCTTCTGCTGCGCCCTGAGACGGCTCTGGACTCAGCACCATGACGTCACTCTTCGCCCCCTCATCCCCCTCCTCCTCCCCCTCCTCCTCCTCCTCCACCTCCACCTGACCATCACCATCCCCACCATCAGCATCAGCACCACACAAATCATGAGCATCATGAGCATCACCCTTGCCATCTTTACCAGCAACATCATCACCATCAGCACCATCAGCACCATCAGCACCATCAGCACCATCAGCCCCCTTTCTACTCTCCCGTTGGCCTCTCTTCCTCCCTCCCTGCGTCGCCTCGGTGGTTCCCCCAAGCTCGTCCCTTCTCGTCTCTTCATCCTCCTCCTCCCCTCTCACCTCCCCTCTCACCTCCCCTCTCACCTCCCCATCACCCTCACCCTCACGCTCATCCACATACCCATCCACATCCATGAGAACCACGTCACTGCTCGCGTTTGAATCAGCACCACTCTTGCCACCACCACCACCACCACCGCCACCACCACCGCCACCACCACCACCACCACCACCACCCCTCCCTCCCTTCCTCTCACCCTCCTTCCGCCGCTTGCGCCCCTTCCCCTCCCTCTCCTCCTCCTCCCCTTCATCCTCCTCTATCTCCCTTTCTCTCGTCCCTTTCCCCTTCCCCCTCTCCGCATCCCCCCTCCCCTCCCTATCCCTCCCCCTCTCATGCCCCTCCCCGCCCTCCCTATCCCTCTCCCTTTCATTCTTAACCACATCACTCTTAATCGTGCCAGCTCCTATGGCAGCGAATCCCGTGATTCCAGTCCGTTTCCTCAGACGCCCCCCGCGCTCAACAAGCCGCTTGCCAGCTGCCAGGGCAGCTGGACCAATCACTTCGAGCTCAGGATTCGGATCCCTGCTGGTAGTGGGGTGTTGGGGGGTGGGGGGAGGGGGCGGGGTTGGTTTAAAGTCGACTCAAAATACACCGCGCTCCACAAGCCGCTTGCCAGCTGCCAGTGCGGCTGGACTAATCACTTCGAGCTCAGGATTCGGATCCCTGCGGGTAGTGGGGGGTAGTGGGGGGTTGGGGGTTGGGGTGGGGATGGGGGTGGGGGTCGGGAGTGGGCGAGGGGATGGGGTTTAGGGCAGCTGGACTAATCATTTCGAGCTCAGGATTCGGATCCCTGCAGGTAGTGGGGGGTTGGTGGGTGGGGGTGTGTGGAGGGGTGCGTTTTTAGTCGACTCAAAATACACCGCACTCAACAAGCCACCAGCCTGCTGCCAGGGCGGCTGGACTGATCACTTCAAGCTCAGGATTCGGATCCCTGGGGGGGGTAGTAGGGGGTTGGGGTGGGGGTGCTTTTGAGTCTGCTTTTGAGTCTGCGTTTGAGTCTGCGTTTGAGTCTGCGTTTGAGTCTGCGTTTGAGTCTGCTTTTGAGTTTGCTTTGGAGTCTGCTTTTGAGTCGACTCAAAAGCACACACAATAAGCCGCCTGCCTGCTGCCAGGGCGGCTGGACTAATCACTTCGAGCTCAGGATACGGATCCCTGGGGTAGTGGGAGGTTGGGGGGGTTGGGGGGTGGGGATGGGCAGTGCGAGAGGGGAAGGGCTTGAGGTAGGAGGTTCATGAGTGGTCGTGAGAGAAGAAGGGATGGGGAGGCAAAAGCGGCATCCACCACTTGTGTTTTGCCGCGCCTCAAATGCCCATCCGCGTTGGCTGAGGCGCCGTGCTCACTCAACAGTCGGCTGAGTGAACAAGCTTTTCCTGGCGTTTCTGAAACATACCTGTGTTTTGGGCAGAAGGTGCATTGCATATCCAAACCAGCACAAAACATACATGTGATTTTAGTCAACGCATAAGACACCTGCGCTGAGGTCGCACCTGTGCTTGGGGCAGAAGGTGCATCGCAGCAGCTCCCCTTCATCGTTGGGCAGGACGTCCATGATCCAACCCGCCTTCATGGCGCACACCACGTGATACGCGACGAGGCAGCGCGGCCCGTCGCACTGAATGCACGCCCCATAGGGCTGCCGGCAGATGCAGCACGCCTGGGGGATAGGGGCATGGAGGGGAGGAGGAGGCAGGACGTCCGTGATCCACCCACCCCACCACATGGTATGCCACCAGACATACCGGCCCGTCGCACTGAATGCACGCCCCATCTGGCTGCCGGCAGATGCAGCACGCCTGGGGATAGGGGCATGGAGGGGAGGAGGAGGCAGGACGTCCGTGATCCACCCACCCCACCGTCATGGGGCACACCCCACCACATGGTATGCCACCAGACATACCGGCCCGTCGCACTGAATGCACGCCCCATCTGGCTGCCGGCAGATGCAGCACGCCTGGGGGATAGGGGTACAGGGTTGGGAAGTATAGGAGAGAATGGGAGCATGTGGTGTGGATGCATCACCAGTCATGCTGACAGCAGAAAATTATCGACACCACGTCTCACCAGCCAGAACCGCTTCTCACCAGTTTAAACCGCTCTGGATCCACGTTATCAATGCCGTCCAGCATCTCCCCCTCGCCCTCCCCAACCACACTGACCCCCGGCATCCACAGCCCGCACACCAGATGCGCCCACCGCTGCCGCGCCACCATTCCCTCCCCCCCTCCTCCCCCTCCTCCCCTCCTCCCCCTCCCCCTCCCGCCCCCCCTCCTCCTGCTCCATACCCTGCTGCTCGCCCACCCCTCCCACCTGCCACAGCGGCTGCAGCTGCAGCAGCAGCAGCGGCTGCAGCGGCAGCAGCAGCTGCAGTTGCACCTGCTCCTGGGCCTCTTCTCCCCGGTGCCTCGCCCTTTGTCTTGCTGCTTCCAGGCAGGGCTAGCTTAATCGTGGTGGGCTTTAAAGCCCCGCCCCTGACGGGACACAGGCAGCACTCCCTCCTAATCTCCTCCTCCTCCTCATCCCCCCCTCCTGCTGCCCCTCCCCCGCCCCTACCTCCTCCCAGACCCCCTACCGCCCCTCCCCCTGTGCCTGAGTTGGCTAAGCCCACTTGTGCCATGGGGTCCGAGGCTTTACCCATGCGCTTGCCCTTGCCTTTGTCTTTCCCTGTACCTTTGCCTGTGCCTGCGCCTGTATGAGTGTCCGTGTCTGTGGCTGTACCAACGGCAGTGCTGCTGCGGTCGCAGCGTTGGCACAGCCACGACATGCCAAAGGCAGCAGCATCAGTCGGCACTGACCGCCCGCCACTACCACCACCAACCCCACCACCACCACCACCACCACCACCACCCCCACCACCCCCTCCACCCCCTCTGCCTGGCGATCCCGGCTGCCTCACTATCCCATAGCACTCCTCATGCACACCCAGCTCACACCGCATGCAGATCAGCATTCTACTCGCATCCGAGTCCTCGTCGCTATTGCACACCGCACACCGCTCCGACGTCCACCGGTACTCCACCCCCTCATACGGTTCACTTAGAGCCTTTTCCAACCAGGCCACGCCTGACGGCGCGACTGAGGACCTCGCACCCGCCCTGCCCTCATCCCACTGCCGCCCGCCCCTCCTGCTGCTGCGGCTGCCATGCCGCCCGCTCCGCGCAGTGTGGATATGATTCCCTGCTGGCGATTCCCTGGGCGGCTGCGAGGGGGAGGCTCCTCGTAGAATGCAAGGCCCCTCACGCCCGCCTCTTGGGACGCCTGGAGCTGAGGGGAGGGAGGAGGAGCAGCGAAATAAGAGGGGGAAGGTGGGGAAGGGGGGGGGGGGGGGAAGGGAAGGGGAGATGGGAAGCGATCATGTGTGAGGAGTCTATTTTTTAGGCGCCTCTATTTTTTAGGCGCCTCACGCGGGGGGAAGGGAAGGGAAGGGGAGATGGGAAGCGATCATGGGGCCAAAATTGGGAGGAGAGGAAGCTCGAGTGACCCAGGGGTTCCATTAAAGAAGCTGCTTGAGAGAGGCGGGAGCGTGAGAACGCGACTCACCTTGCTTGACTGTTTTGACCTGGTGTGTATCTAAGGTTACACCAATACAGGGACCACTTGAGAGAGGCGGGAGTGTGAGAGCTGTGTTCACTGCAGCAGCAAAAGGGTTATGTTATTGAGTAGAAGCATGTGAAGAGGTTGGTTGTCCTTCTCTGTGCCCTGCTGAAGCACCGACGCATTTTGAGTCGACTCGAGACTTGAAGGGTTCAGGTGAGAGGTGCTTACCCAGGCGAAGAGGGTGGTTTTCTTCTCCGTGCCCTGCAGCAGCACCGACGCCTTCCACTTCTTGGAGCGGCACTGAGAGTGCTTCTCAAACTCGCTCAGAGCCATCAGTGACGCCTCTGCCGCTGCTGCCGCCACCCCACCAGCACCACCACTGCTAGCGCTGCTACTCTTGCTGCAGCCGCCCTTGCTGCTTCCGTCCTTGCTGCTGCCGCCCTTGCTGCTACTGTCCTTGGTTTTGGGCCGGCAGGAGCGGCAGCAGCACTGCACGAGGTGCAGGGAGGGGAGGTAGAGGCCTTTGTAAGAGGCGCAGGTGACGGGCATTGGCGGGTGGGCTGCAGGGATGGGTGGCGCTGCTGCTATCTTGTTGTCGCCTTCTGCCTCTGCCTCAGGTGAGGAGGATGGAGTGTCAGGTGAATTCTCAGGTGAGAAGTCTGGCAGTGAGTCAGCTGTGTCAGGTGTTTTTTCTGTTGCTACCACATGCCTCCTCTCCTGGCGTGCCTTGAAATCGCCATCACCATCACCATCACCATCACCATCATCGCCATCGCCATCACCATTGCTCATGTATCCATTCCCACCCACACCTACTTCTCTCACCGCTGTTTTTTCAACCCATTCTTCCTTCACTCTATTCTCATTCCCATCCCCATCCCCATGCCCATCCCCATCCCCATGCCCATGCCCATGCCCATGCCCATGCCCATTCCCATGGCTGATCAGGCGATCCCCATGCAGGCACTCCAGCTTCGCCTCACCTATCCCCAGGAGAGCACCAGCCAAACCAAACCCCTTGCCTGTTATCACCTCCATACCAGACCACCCCTCTGAAACTCTCTCTACATTCCTCCCCTCCTCCTTCATCCGAGCAGCAGTAGCAGCAGCAGCGGCAGCAGCAGCCTGTGCTGCCTTCCTAGCCCTCTCCTCCCTCTCTTCCCTGTCCTTCTCCTCCCTCTCCTCCTTCTCCTCCTTCTTCTTCTCCCTCCTCTCCTTCCTCTCCCTCTTCTCCCTCTCCTCCACCTCCTTCGTCTGCCGGCAGTTGGGGCACAAATACGCCGCACCCCTGTTAATCGCATCCAACCGCTGCCTCGAGATCCCGTCACACTCAGCATGCACCCACAGCTCGCACCGGTCGCAGTGGGCGAAATCACCCTTCTCGTTCGGCAGCCACACGAGCAGACACAGCGGGCAGAACTGCGTCGATTGGAAGAGCTTCCGGCACTGAATGCAGAGGGGCACGGAGTCTAGCAGCTCGTCCACTAGACGTTGGGTGTAGCTGCTGCCTGCTGTGCTTTCTGTGGCAGCACCAGCACGACCAGCCCCAGCACGACCAGCCCCAGCCCGACCAGCCCCAACACCAGCAGCAACAGCAGCACAGGCACCGGCACTGTCTCCGGCACTCTCCGCAGCACCATCATCACGGCTCGCAACAACAGCCCTACCGCCGCTGTGCCTGCTCTGACCCGCTTTCCCCGACCGGCTGGTGCCCTTGCTCCTGCTCCGCTTCTTGCTCACTCCCCATACCCACCCTCCCTCTGCCCGCCTCCTGCCCTTCCTCCCCTTCTCTGGCCTGCCCCTTCCCCTGCTCCTCCTCCCCCCCTCCTCGCGCCCATTCTCCTTCTCCTCCCACTCCTCCCCATCCTGCCCACTTCCCACTGCCTGCCTTTTCCTGCTGCCTCCTCCACCTCCGCTCTTCCTCCTCCTCTTCTTCCCCACCTCCTTCTCGTCCCAATCACTCTCCCCAGACGAATCCCCCCCACTGCCCTCCCCCTTCCCTCTCCCCTTCCCCCCCTCCTCCAGGTGAAAACAGGTCGTCGAGGGTACGAGTGGGCCTGCCTATAACGCCAGGCATGATCCGGCACCCCACACACATCATGCCGTCCGCCTCATCTCCAGCCCCTGCCAACCCAGCTGCTGCTGCTGATCCCCCCTTCGCTGCACCCACCAACCCGCCTGACCTCCCGCCTCCCCTCCCACCGGCAGCAGCAGCAGCAGCAGATTTGGTAAGAGCAGCGGCAGCAGCAGCAGCAGCAGCCGTGGTTCCAACAGCAGCAACTCCATAACCAGCAGCACCACCACTACTACCACCACCGCTAGAAGCATTCGTGCCAGCCTCATTCCCCTCCCGCCCCTGCTCCCCATCCTCACCATCCCCCACCACTCCTCCCTCCCCTCCTCCCGCTCCTCCCCCTCCCCCCTCCGCCATCTCCTCATGCCCCACCATCCCTTCACTCTCTAGCACTGCCTCTTCCACCGCCTTCCTGAAATCCTTGGGCCGGTTCCGAGTAGTCAGCGGCTGGCTCTCATACTTAACCAAGAAGTCCAGAAACGGCAGAATGCTGCCCTCAGGCACCCACGAGTAATCCCGATCCCGCTTTTTGCTAAGCGACGGGCCGAAGAACATGACGCAGAGGCGGTCCGCTTCTGCTGCGCTCCTAACAGCAGCAGGGGCTTCGTAAATGGGATCCACCACACGGGCAGGCCACCAGGGGTCTTTTTTCCGCCCGGATTTTGCCCACACCACGTCTCCTGCTTCGAACCCATCCAAGCAGAACAGTGGGGCCCTGGGCTTGGGCGAGAGGATGGATGACCCTGTGCCTCGTGCTGGTGCTCGTGCTCGTGCTGGTGCTGGTGCTTCTGTGGGCTCGGGCTCTGCTGTTTGCTCTGCTGCCTCCCCCGCTTCTGCTGTTTTTACTCCTGCTGCTGCCGCGGCTCCTACTTCTCCTTCCTCTCCTCTCGCAGCTGCTGCTTTTGCTGCTGCGTCTTTACTCGTCGCTCTTTTCACCTTTGTTTTGGGGGGAATGCGAGGTGGTGAGGGGGACCTAGAGGCAGACACTGACGGGGAACGTGATGGTGATCGTGATGGTGATGCTGATTTCGATGCTGATGGTGTTGCAGACAGTGATGCTAACGGAGTTGTTGATGGAGTTGGGGACGGAAGAGGGGAGAGGGAGGGAGATGGAGACACGGACACCGGCGACTCTGAATGAGTAGCCGCATCACTACCGCTGCCAACGTCACCATGTGAGTGTATATGTGTGTGTATGGAATCGGAATCAGCCGCTGCATGAAGGGCGGCAGCAGCCGCCACTACACCACCACCACCACCAGCACCACCAGCATCACCAGCATCACCAGCATCACCAGCAGCAGCAGCACGATCAGTAGAATCATCCGCACCACCAGGCTGTGTCTCACCCGCGTTTCGCGCCTGGTCAGCTGCTTCCATAGGCTTAACCGCTTTGGCGGGCTAAGAGCGTGGCCAGCTGCTTCCATAGCCTTAGCAGCAGCATCTGTGACTGACTGCACTCGTCTCATCATGGGCCGCACTCTCCTCCTCTTCCTCGCTCTCTCTACTACCACGCCACCGGCATCGTCCCCACCTGCTGCTTCTGCTGCTTCTGCTGCTGCTTCTGCTGCTGCTGCTGTTTCTGCTTCTGCTTCTGCTTCTGCTGCTGCTGCTGCTGCTTCTGCTTCTGCTTCTGATTCTGCTTCTGCTGCCTCTGTTCCTAGTGCTTCAAACGCAAGTTCCCCCGTCCGAGTTCCTGCTGGTTTTGGTCTGTGTGGTTCCATTTCCACTTCCTGCACCTCTTCCTCTGTTGCTGCCATCCCCCCAACTTCCTTCAACCCAGTTTCCTCTGTTGCCGAGCCTACTTCCACCACGTCTGCTTCCCCACCAGCCCCTTCTGCTGCTTCTGCTGCTTCTGCTTCTGCTTCTGCTGCTTCTGAGTCTGCTGCTTCTGCTTCTGCTTCTGCTGCTTCTGGGTCTGCTGCTTCTGCTTCTGCTTCTGCTGCTTCTGCTTCTGCTGCTTCTGCTTCTGCTGCTCTGCTGCTTCTGATGCTGATGCTTCCGCTGCCTCTGTGACTCCTCGCAATCCAAGTTCCTGGACCCGAGTACTAGGTGGCTCTGTTTCTACCTCCACCACATCTGCCTCTCTACCTGCCCCTTCTGCCGCTTCTGCTCCTTCTTCTGCGGCTGCTTCACCTGATACTGCTGCCTCTGGTCTCGCTTCTCGCAACCTAAGTCTCTCCTTCACCCCAGTACTAGCTGCCTCTGTGTCCACTTCCACCACACCTGCCTCGTCACCTGGCCCTAACTCTTCTGAACCCCCCTCTTCTGAACCCCCTCTTCCGCTGGTGCTCCTCCATCCACCCTCTCCCCTGCCTGTGCGTTGACCTCTCCGTCCGTGTCCACCTCTACCTCTCCTGGCACCACTTCAACAGGTGAATATGACCGCAGGGAACCGTGCTCAACCACATCCTCGCTGCCATCTCTCCCCTCCCCCACTGCTGCCTTATCGCTCTCGTCCATTCCCGTTTCTTCAACGTCAGCTCCCTTTTTTTCCCCCTCCTCTTTCTCCTCTCCTCTCTCCTCCTCTTTCTCCTCCTCTTTCTCCTCCTCTCTCTCCTCTTCTCTCTCCTCTTCTCTCTCCTCTATCTCCTCCTCTCTCTCCTCTTCTCTTTCCTGCAATTTCTCCTCCTCTTTCTCCTCCTCTTTTTCCTCCACTTTCTCCTCCTCTCTCTCCTCCCCTTTCTCCCCCTGTTCCCTACAGCCGCACTCTGGCGCCTCTTCCACCGCTGATCCATCCAGATTCTCGCCATCACGAACCCCTACCCGTTCCTCATCTGCACTTCTCCCAGGTTCCTCCTCAACCTGCACATCTGCCTCCGTACCCTCTCTTGTTAGTTCTGTTGCTGCAGCTGTTGCAGCTCCTGCGGCTACTGCTACTTGCGATATTTCTCTCAAGCCCACTCCCTCCCCCATGCCATGCTCAGCACCGATCGCCTTCTCCCTCGCCCCCTCTTCCTCCCGACTACGCCCCTCGACCCAACCCTCACTCCCGTCCCTCACCACCACAGCCTCGACATCCTTCTGCACCAACTGGACACCTCTCCCCTTCCCTTCTGCCTTCAACTCTTTCCCATCTGCCGCTTCTTCAACCCTGGTATCCACTTCGACCGCATCACCCATCCCACTGTCTGCTTCAGGCGGCTCAGCAGCGCCATTCCCATTCTCTGGAGTACACTCCTCTTCCCCAGACCCAATCATTCTCTCCTCCTCCTTCTCTGCCTCCACTTCCCCCTCGCCTGCCCCCCCTTGGTCCCGTGCACTCTCTCCCCCAGCATCAGCTGCCATCTCATCCTTCTCACTCTCTCCATTCTCCTTCCGACCCCCTTCCGTGCTACTGCCTGCTCTCTCCCCCTCTTCTTCACCCCCTTGCTTTTCTTCCTCTGCCTCCTCCTCCTCCTCCTCCTCTTCCTCCTCCTCTTCCCACTTCCTGCCCCTGCCATCCTTACCGCTCCTCCCACTCCTTGACGTCTTCTCGCTCTTCTCACCCTCCTCGCTCCTCACCACCCTCTCACGCCTCCTGCCCTTGTCCTTCCTCCCACCCTTCCCACTCTTCCCGCCCCTCCCACTACCCGCTCCCTGCTTGCTCCTCCCAGCCCCCTCACTCTGCTCTCTCGCCCCCACCTTCCCTCCCTTCCCTAGAACCAAATCTAGAGCAGGGAGCGCCAGAACAATGCACAGACCAAGAGGGCCCTCTATTGGGGGAGGTAGAGCTGGGGAGGGCTGTGCTGGCGTAGGTTGTACGTCACGTTGTATAATCTGGGTGCCCTTCGCCCTTTTCCCACTCTCCTTTGCCCCACGGTCCCTCTTTCTCATACTCTCCATCGCCCTCCCTTCCTCTCTACTGCCCTTGCCACGTCCCACATTCCTGCCTGCCGTTTCCCCTCTCGCCCTTCTCTTTGTACACTCTCGCCCCAGGCAACGGTCCTTCTTCTCGTCCCTCCTCCTCTTCTCTTCCTC